AATAAATAAATAAATAAATAAATAAACTAAAATGATGAAAGGTCTGGAAACTATGCCCCATGAGGAGCATCTTAAAGAACTGGGTATGTTTAGCCTACAGAAGAGAAGGTTGAGAGGACACATGATGGCCATATATAAATATGTGAAAAGATGTCATAAAGAAGAGGGAGCAGACTTGTTTTCTCCTGCACTTGAAAGTAGGACTAGGAGCAATGGGTTCAAATTACAGGAAACAAGATTCCACCTGAACATTAGGAAGAACTTCCTGACTGTATGAGCTGTTCAACAGTGGAACTGCCTCAGAGTGTGGTAGAAGCTCCTTCATTGGAAACTTTTAAACAGAGGCTGGATTGCCATCTGTCTGGGATACTTTGATTGTCCTTTTCCTGCATGGTAGTAGGTTGGTCTCTTCCAACTTTATGATTCTATGAAAAGTATGTCAGATGGGTTTGCTTTCAAAATGGGAGATTAATGCATTGAACAAAAACCAACCAACCAACCAACCAATAAATAAATAAATAAATACATTGATTTCTAGACATGGTTAGATAAATAGTGATTAGTTGTTGTTCTGGATATTATCTCAAGGTAAAATATAAATATAAATATGATTAAATCACTTAGGAGATGGGCCATCCAGTGCGTTTGAAGGGAAAAAGGAATGAGCATATAAGCTAAAACAGCTGTCTTCAGATACAGTAAAGACACTTCTTTGTTATAATGAATTATGCTAGCTTTAATTCAGCTAGCAGAATAGGAATAATCACATCTTAAGATAGAGGTTAATGCGACAATTAGGCAAAGTGCATTGTTCTTGTATTCTGTGCAGAAATGGATGGAAGTTGTCTCACAGCTACATGTTCATCATTGCTAGTCTAATCTTTTATCATGCCTGTACATATGGATCAAAAAGTGTTGTAGCTTGTAAGTGGGGTTGTCCTAGGCCAAATTTGTTAAAATGCATGTGCTTTAACTTACTTTTAGAGACAGAAATAGATTAGAAGCATGCATGGTGCCTTTCATTTGCTGCTTGCCTTAGAGAACAAAGGACTACAAAGAACGCAGTGCTAAGCATGGTGTCTCCAGTGATGCCTGAACAACGAAAAAAGCAATCAAGCTCTAGAATGAGTCAACATTACTGACATTGGAAAATTAGGATTGAGGGCATTTCTACTATGTATGATTAAATGAAGTCATCAACAACACAATGTCTTAGAAAGTTGGACTTTAATCTTAATATATTAGCACACACTTTTTTGGAACCATATGGAGTTATACATGCTGCTAAGATATAATTATGACTTCATTTTCTGTTACTTTGATATGAAACATGAAATACCAGCTTCATTTTGAGAACCCACTTGGAAACTATATGAGATCTTTGGGTAGATATAGGACCTCATCACATTGAAGTCCCTAAAGTGGGTGACAGTGGGGAAATTTGGTGTGCAGTGTGGCAAATCTGTGGGGCAGCGGGGGAAACGATCATTCTGCATCCCGATTGGCACCTTCCCCATGGGGGGGGGGGAGCGTCACTGCCTGAGCTGGTCCTGTTGTAGGCTATGAGAACATGGGCAGCCACATGTGTTTTCAGGGCTCCATCCTAGGATGCTTCCAGGATGGAGCCAGGACAGAGCCTCACCAGAAGTAGCCCTGGAAGCGACCTAGGACTGAGCCAGAAGTCCATGAGATGGGGTCGATAGCAGGTATATTCTTCCTAGGAGCCAAAAAACTACACCGAGGCTACTGTACTTTGGACATATTATGAGATTACATGACATTTCAGAGAAAAATGATAATGCTCAGCAAAGTGGGGGCAGTAAGAAAAGAAGACTATATTGCAAGTGGATAGATTCAATAAAGAATGCCACAGTCCTGAAATAGCAGTATCTTAACAGGGATGTTAATAAAAGGGCACTTTGTAAGTCATTAGTTTGCAGCAAAGATGGCAGGGACCTAACAGAAGCTGAAGAGATCAAGAGAAGGTGGCGAGAGTATACAGAACATCTGTATAGGAAGGATAATAATATCGAGGATAGTTTTGACGGTGTGGTGAATGAATTAGAACCAGACATCCTGAGGAGTGAGGTTGAATGGGCCTTAAGAAGCATTGCTAACAACAAGGCAGCAGGAGATGACGGGATCCCAGCTGAACTGTTTAAAATCTTAAAAGATGATGCTGTCAAGATGGCATGCCATATGCCAGCAAATATGGAAAACACAAGAATGGCCATCAGACTGGAAAAAATCAACTTATATCCCCATACCAAAAAAGGGAAATGCGAAAGACTGCTCAAACTTCTGTACAGTGGCCCTTATTTCTCATGCCAGTAAGGTAATGCTCAAGATCCTGCAAGGAAGACTCCAGCAATACATGGAGCGAGAGTTGCCAGATGTTCAAGCTGGGTTTAGAAAAGGCAGAGGAATGAGAGACCAAATTGCCAATATCCGCTGGATAATGGAGAAAGGCAGGGAGTTTCAGAAAAACATCTATTTCTGCTTTCATTGACTACTCTAAAGCCTTTGACTGTGTGGATCATAATAAATTGTGGCAAGTTCTTGG